TGATGATTGTCTTCATTTCATCACAAAATTAATTATCTTCGTCATTTTAGAATATTATACAATCTTTAATTTGAACGTTAATTACTACACCATGGAAAGGTGCACAAACTACCTTGTACACTGTACTAATGGATAATTTTATTCCTGAAGGTTATTATACAAACTGTACACTGAAAAAGCCACCAAAATGTGGAAGCCAGAAAATGGTTTTGGAATAAAACACATGAACTATTGAACACACAGTGTGATAGTTAAATGTGAATGTTAACATATGTTAACTGTGTAAACAGAATTCTGTATTCATTTTGATGATCGTGTTATGACAAATTTGGCAAGAAATCAGTTAATATAATATGGCGATCTTCACTTTGGACACATTGATGTGAGTGAATGGATTAGTTAGAAGTTTGTCTGTGTTTTCTGCTTGATTGCTCGACATTGGATATAATGTCGGTATTTCAAAATTTCTCAAAATAATCGAAAAACAAAGGAATTCGACTTTATTAAACTTCCCCGAGTCGACTATATTTATTTACTCATTTACCTAAACACATGAACAATGGTACAAAGGGGCATCAAAATATATGTGCGGCACACAATAAAAATAAGATTGTGAAGAGATGGAGAAAAAAAGTGAGTGCAAGAAAAAGGGAACAAAAGTAAATAGAAATTAATGTTTGAAAGTGAAAAAAAATTGGGGAAGCAGTCCAGCCAAGAAAAATACAACCAGAAAGAAATCTTTCAGTCAAAGAAGCTCCTCTCACTCATATGAAGAAAGCAATTTATAACAGGATCGCCACTGGCTTCTATTCTGATCCCATTCCGACAACATCTCGAGACACTATGTTACACCATTTTTAGGACCCCTACCGGGGATTCGTGAAGGACCAACAGATACTAGTTCTGTAAAGTCTTCTTTCATAACACGACACCATGTCACATACTGATAATCTCTCTACTTTTATGAATCAGTCCCAGTGCCGGCAAATAATACACGATGTGGAATTTGCTAGGATGACACTCGTAGTGCATATCCAAGCCACCATCAGTAAAATTATCATCGCTGTGCTGGAACACACTTTGCCGAACCTCTTCACCACTAACATGGTGTTGTCAGTGAATGTCATGTCATTCGGAGACAACGACGGCCAAACACAGAGAGTCGGTTGACATCCTCAACTTAGAGAGGCCAGGTTTTACAAGCATAGAGTAAAACTGCTCTCACCGACGCATTGTAGAACCAACCTTTTACAGACAGACTAACGAAGGCCCCAAATATGGCCCAGACTGACATAAGCCACTTTGACGTGAATTGGTTTCATCAGTCACGTTGCCACCAGGACTTACACAGATACCCTCAAATGCACGAACTTCTCAACTACTTCTAACTGCCCACTACTAAGAGCGAATGTAGTTACAGGGTCCTACCAGTCTTGTAAAAGTAAAAGGTGCAAAGCTATCCCATACCTACAGACACTGATTGCCAACTGCTTAAGTATGAATTACATGGTTCGGGTATCATCGGATAGTAAGACCATATCATCCATATACTCAAAGTCGAAAAGTCTTTCTCCAAGTAACAGATCCACATCATCATTACATACATACATCACAGCTGTTTCCAGAACGTCATTGATAAAAGCTATACTCAAATACAATATACTTAGAAATATTGATATGCTATATTTGTATTATGCTTGAAATTATTAGGTACCAAGTTTTGCTTTAATAAAATAAATCAACTCAACGTATGTTTAAAAATTATAGAAACTACGATATATCTATCTTCAATTTCACTCAGATTTTATCTAAGGTGAGTTTTGAATATGTATCCTTTGTACAAATTAAGCTTAAAATAGTAGATTAATTAGATATAATTTTTTTTCTCTTATTTCATTTTAATCTTAATTGTAGAAAAAGTTAACACTAGATATCAATAATCCAACGATAAAAGCAAAAACTGCATCAGCTAAACTCGGTGAAGTTCATCCTAATGATGTAGAAGCAATGATAAAACTTATGCAACGTTTATGCACAGAATCTAAATGTAAATTATTAGCTGATAGTGATGGTCTATCTTTATCGAATAGTAAATGTCCAAAATGTAAACGTGCTTATTGTCTTGTACATCGTCCAATTGGAAAACATACTGCTTGTCCATTAAACTCAGAACTAACTACCAAAGAATGTGATGGTACTACAACATCTATAGCTTGTGGTTGGGATTCAAATGAAAAAAAGGAAGCATTAAAACTTGCTTTACGAGAACGTAAAGCAAAACTAAGAGAGTTACGTGAACGATGCTGAAAAATGATGTTTTTTTTTAAAGGCTGTGATTTACTAAAATTTGTTTTATTATATTTTCTTATTTGACATATTTACATGAACTCTTTGTAATATTAAATTTAGAAATATTTTCAAAATGGCTTCCCTATCTCCATAGATTCTCAAAACGATTTCTTGTAATTTTAATTTTAGTAGTAAAATTATTTCTTTTTTTACAAATTGTAATTCCAGTGAATGGTTGATTCGATGTGGGGGGGAGTTGTTCATCAATTTAGTATTGAATAAGCGTTAATGTACAATCACTCATAAATTGAATCAAAAACCTATAGATTGAACGAAAACTATTCACTAAACATGGTGAACGGTTGGGATCAACAAGCTATTTTTTTAGGGGAAAATAATTGAAGGGTAATTACATTTTCAAAGTTCAGACGATGATTAGTCAGTGTATCTGTTGTTAATTTTGAGTGATGTCACGGATTTTTAGTACGCTGAAGATGCATTGGTTGTTCACATAACTCGGTTGACCCTCCAACAAACACTCTGATAATATATCTCAGCCCCATTTTTCTCAACGTAGTAATGCTTTAGTCAGTATCGAGGTTTGAAGTGAACACAGTGATAAGTACCACTTTACTTGGTGAGAATCCACAAAGGGCAGATTATAGAAATTTTAGTTCCTGGTATAGAGTAAACACATCATGAGAACAGCTTGCAGTTTTATTTTGGACAAAACATCTATGTTTCATGATGCAATCTAAACTATTGCTGTCACCCAAATGTTGAACATGCGCTCAAACGGATGTGAACACCAACAGGACAATAAATTGCCTTTCATTCTTACAACAATCTAGGAATTACTTCAAGGTATGTACGCATAATATACAATTGTTAATTACATGGATAGTTAGTTTTGTCACAGCTAAATCATACATGCCTTAATATTTAGTGTCAAGTGAACATCTGATCAAAATACTTAAGATTAATAATACCACAGTTTAGTCGAAATAAACTCAAATATTACTTTAGTTTTCAGTTACATCAATATAGTTCCTAATAGATGGCGGACGCTTTTATAACTTCGTGCATCACACCACCTATTCGTTTCGTTCAATGTAAAATTCGTATGCAACAGAACTAGTTTCATACATTCTAAATTCGTAATAACTACACCATAACCGTCGACCACATAGTTACATTAAATTTGTATGGATAAAATGAGTCATTACATTGGTTATACAATAAGATATCTAGTCAGTTGTAAAGATAAACTATATCCGAGGTAGCCTTCTCGTATAAATAAGTTGTTTAGTAGCCACCTGTTTTATGTGAATCTGAATATTCCTTTCTTTAATTGGTTTTGTGTTATTCACAATCATAACAACTCAAACTGGATACACTACAATGTTGCAACTTGTACCCGATTCATATTGGAATTAAACGTTAAAAAACATCTAGAATTTCTTGCTATCATCAATATACACAAAATCAGTGCTAAATCATTCTTACTTTAAAAGTCCATCTTTCTCTAGAATACTTAATTTTAACGTACTTCCTGCTGTATATTTTGGTAATCATTTTATATAGGACAATAATTGTCAATTCATTCATTTTATTCTTTCATATTTTACAGTATATCATTCCTAGTTGATTTTATTCTGATAGTACTTTTAACGCTTTTCTTAGGTACCAAATTCTTATGGATATATTATTTATACTGTAACTTAACTAGCTCACTTTAGCTAAATTGTTTGATTCTGACACGTGTAAACTAATAGTCTTTGAAAGCTTATCATTTTGTTGTTGAAGAAGAAACCGTGAAACGTTTTTCCAGTGTGGATAATCTGTTGCTTTTTTCCCTACTAGCATTACATAGAAATAAGTACATCCGTTACTTATGCCTGTTACCCTTCGTGAAAAAGCATAGGTAGTCGAAAACTAAGTATCAACTAATACTATATATTATGATTAAGAGAAAAGGACCAACAAATATACAGTTTTACAATTGGATAGCAATTTTAATGTTATTATTTAGTCAAGTGATTTTATTAAGAAAAGAAAAGAAACCACATTACAGTCATAAAAAGTCATTTCTAATACATTTTTGTGTTGAATACACTGAAGAATGTACATTGAGACTGGATTAACTGTCAAACGTTAACTTTGAGCAAATCCTGTAGATTGTTTATTGAATGATCGAGAAGGAGCGAAACCCAGGATCTTTTGTACATTCTTTAAAAAAAACGTAAAATTTATAAATCTAATAAATTTCGGTTTTATGAAATTAACAGTCAATTACTAATACATTGTAACCAAGTGGGTCGGTTACTGACTCCAACTTCACTTTATCTTATCAACTGAGTAAAATCACTAAACCTTATATAAAAAATTATGGATCAAAATGAAGTTGTACTTGATTACCGGGTTGTATTTAATTATTTTTTATTAACATAATATTAGTATTATCTGACATTTCGTCCATTTCAAAAATGTTATATATATATTGAAACTACAAGTGATAACCTTGTAGATAACAGCTATTTAAAGTTAATCTTTACTACTAAATGAGAAATTAATTTTGGGGTGAAACAATCGATTCTAAGAGCATATTTTTTTAGTACGTCTCCTAAACTTACTTTCCATACTTATCATGAACACTGTCTATATTATAGATTATGATCCTATCTAACAACATATTTTCTTATAGAGCTCAATAATTTACTCATACGAAAACTTGTCATATCATAGACTTGTCAAAATCCAAATCACACTGTACAATTAAAAATTAGGCCGATAATGGCTTGATGGCCAGATCAAATGAGTAGTCAAAATGGGTTTTTTTTTGAAAGATTAATAATCACAACTAATTACGGCATCAGTTTATTCTATCGAAACAAAGTACATTGAACAAAACTTGGATAACAGTTTTTTTCTCCTTTAGCTATATTTATGGTAAATAACTTATTCTAGAAAGTTCAGTGAACATCTAGGGTTCAAATATTTAAAAATATACTTAGTAGAAAGAATAGAATATGGTAAATTAATACATAGAGAAATAAGATGACATGTTTATAATTAGAAACGAAGAACAAATACGAATATTAAAATATAAAAGTAGAATAACTAAAGTCCTTTTTAGATAATGCATGGAATGAGATGTGGATGTATTTGTCTAAATATTGAGGACAATAAAAAGCTACATAAATAATCGTACTTATGTTAATTTCTATGAAATTACCTGTCGGATTGACATTGTACACAATATATACACAAAGACAAAAGAAGCATCTGTGAAATCACTGCCTGGGAGATTTCTATGAGATAGTCCTTGAATCCATGAGAAAGGGACAAACGGCAATTTGGCTACAACACGTCCATCAAACCTAATCAGAAGTATTGCGAATAAAATATTTACAATAACACCAACGGGAGTAATATAATAAATTAGTAAAAAATGTAAATTCATTAAACTCACAAACCAAATACAGCTACATATATTCGGTTTTGAGTGAAGTTAAACGTAGAGTATTAGGGAATGATGGTAAATCAGTTGATAAGGTTATCAATCTTCATCAATTGAGATGGGTGGGTCACGTATTACACATTCTCAACTACTGACTACCACGCCGCGCAATGCTGACTAGTGTTGGAAATGGATGGAAGTAAGGGGCGGCCAAAACATGGCATCAGTCCATGAAGTTACTGACTTCTGGTCTAAGCCATTTTGGTAGATGCAGACTACTTGGTTGGGGTCCGCGCGACTATCGTAACCAGTGGTTAGAGACTGGTTCAGAATCGACCACAATGGTGTATGTGTATACACTCTCGTCTTCCCTTAAACCGTGAAACTAAAATTACTTTATACCTTTCTACGAACTAATTCATTCTTCCTGTCATATCCTTGTATACAATCTTTATTAAAAAGATATTACTCCCATTGAAGTAATTGCTTCTATGAATCTGGTATTCATCTTGTTGTGCTAATGAGGTATAGCAACTTGCACCGATGCATATATGTGCCTAGTCATACGTTGTAAATGACTGATTTTAATTTTGGCATATTTTATGTGTGGGTAATGTGCAGCTGCCTAAATCAAAATAGACAAACCAAGGTTCAAATCTGTGACGCAAATTCTAAAAGTTGAGTGTTTTAATCAATAAGCTACTGTCCCACTAAATGGAACCCAGGATTTACGTGATATAATTTGGCAAACAAGTATAGACTGAGTCAAACCAATTGCATGAGAGGGATAGTAATAATTAACAGTTTGCCTAGATCTCGGGAAATGAAGTAATCGGTTGGTTGAATGCCAACTCCCAATGAGCTTCACGTGCAAGAAATAAAAGTCTTGCTGCTTTAATTTTTGGATAAAACTCATAACACAAACGCATTGTCTATGTTGAATAATTGCTCTGATCATAATTTTTCTCTATGAAATAATGTAATTAATTGTTAGATGAAACTTTAGATAAACGGAATACTTATCACGCTTATCCAAAATGGTCCATATGAGACCCGATACAAATTCTGACTGGGTCAATAACATTATATAAATCAGACGGTTACGACCATACTACTAGCGAAGTAAAATACATAAAACGCACAACACAAAACAAGAGAAATATGACATTGACTTGCCACCTACGCTAAGCCTGAGATATCGGGATTTAATTTAAGAGAGTTATATCAAATGTTTATTCCATCTACGAATCTTAACTTTTATCATAGTGGCTAAGCAAAACAATGGCAACACTAATTATACAGAATTATTTTCGTTCTTTGTAATGGATGGTTACAAGTGATTTTTTGAAAACGGTAAAATAAATGATTATTTTGGTTCACATATTTATGATATGCTGAACTTTCATTGAGAAAATGTTATACACGTCGGTGGAAATAATGAAAATTCAATGTCATTGCAAAAACACAATTTGATATATATCTAGATATTTAACAAAAAGCAAGCAAAGCTAAGAAACATTACTTCACTTTATTTTACATGTGCTTTGAATTGTAAGTTACATTTTAGATATTGTGAAATCGAAAGTTTTTGAAGATAACACTTATTGTTGATCATAAAATATCAGGTCGCAGGACCCGAAATAAGTATGCTATTGGCTAAATAGTAAGACAGCTGACCGTTGACTAATTAACGATATTATACTCAAACAAAATCATAGAAACGTCCATTTTCGTAGTCTATATTAGTAGCTTTAATGAACTTTAAAAACGCTTTGGTGGCTGATAATTATACTTTATCGATATTCATTCTGCTGAAAAATTGGAACTAATAGTCAATTAAAAGTTAAATGTTAACATTTAATCCCAGCTTTTATCATATGTGTAACTAAAAATGTCTAGCATTAATAACAAAACTTAATCCTCACGCTTGTCCAACGATAGCTCTTATACTTTGAATTCAACACTGTCAAAGCATTATCAACTTACATACTACTGAAAACATTGAATAATGAAGTGAATATAAGTCCGACTGCAAACATAGATTTCATTTTAACCTTTTGGAGTGACGTACTGATTAGAGTAAATTTTACTTGCCATAGATAACTCCCGATTAATGTTTTTGAATCGCTCTTCTTGCTTCTCTGAAGAATATTAAAAATGTAAGTGAAATCAGTAAAAATTACCTAAACGCTTTTTGGCAGTGCGATCTATAGCTGACTCCGTAACATCTCGTTGCTTCTCTACTTTAAAGATATATAAAATAACAGGTCAAAATACTTACAACGCTTAGATTGCTTGTCTACCTCAGCTTTCAGTTTTTGGTATTTTTCTGTTCTGTATACGAAAAGCCATGTTAAGCCTACAACGATTAATTATATTTAGGAATTTATTGCTACACATTTATACCTTCTCCCAAAAATGCTGTGAAAAAAGATATGCATATGATTGAGAGTGTGTCTTGTAGCATCTTGTCCCAGTACAAATGCGGGAAGATACCTGTTAAACTACAGAAAAAATAAAACTAGAATTTTAGGGTTAAAATATTTAAGGCGAAGTTAATAAACATTTGTCCATTTAAACGTCTACACGTCAGTTGCTAGATGAATGATCACTCTCCTTAAGCCTAAGTTCTCGCGCAGAACCAATAGTAATGAGGTTTACTATTTGCTAATTCTTTCGTATATACAATAATACAGGATCTTTTAAAAGATGACATTAAAAGTCTCTACTAAGGCACATAATATAGCTCATGTTTAGTGACAGTAGGATCGTTTTTAAGGCTTCAAGGTGAAGTTTAGAACCATAACTATGAACGAACATTTGCCCTGCCAGGATTTCACGTTTGGTTAACCTAACCTCTACTTCCGGTTATTAATCTTAATATTTTGAAAACAAATAACCAAACCTCGGTTGCAAAAAACGTTCTTTCTTACAAACCGAAAGTCTTTGACTGACACCAATTGAATTTAACTGGGTAGTATTCGAGTTGTTTTTACAACAACCCCTTTATTTTTAAAGGAACAACTTCACTGACAGCAATCGGAGGAAACATGGTAGTGTTTTCTCTTGTCACAGATTTTGAGCCAACTGAACAGGTTTCGGTGAATATTACTTTACAGTAACTAACCGTTTTATTTCAGAACATTGACCTGAAATTTTTTTATTTGACAATTCTGCATAAACAGATAAGCGAATGTCAGGCGCTTTAACCGGGTCGGTGAACACAGAGAGTTCACCTAGAGGAGTTGGAAAACCCTGATTCCAAACCAATGGTGTACGTAGGATCCATGATCCTGAGAGGACAAATAGCCTATGAACCAATTGTTGGTCACCGGCTACCATGAGACTGCATCTTCTGACGTTGCTACACTACCTTGTGGACCAGACCTCTAGGTCAAAGGCTCAGGGCGTGCCTTAACCTAACAGTGTTAGGTTAGGGTTGATGTGGAAAATTATACTTCGATGGCAGTTAGATATTAATTTACCACAAAGCTGCAATCACCGCCTAATGAAGTGTACATTTGCTACTACGAATTATTCTACTTCAGACTTGTTTTGGTTTATTAATTGTCTGCCAGCCACATGTAGTTACCCGACTCCATCAACGTTCTTAACTCATTACGAGTATCCCTTCCATAGCTCATATGACTTCTTTCTACTCTGTTCTTTTGAAGAAACGACAGGGTATTACCATAGGATTCACGCATATAATATGTGACGAATGGCAATATCAGCAGTGAAAGCTATCGTAAACACTTATGGACGAATGAGAACAAAAATACATGGATGAAATAATCTGACTTCAGCGCAAAATCCATACTCGGATTACAGCTGATGTTAGTTCTTGGTGGAATACCTATTAATTCACACAGAAAACTTCGTTATTCATATAAAAACTGTTTATCAATCATGATGGTATTGCCATATTGTCACAAATCATTCCATAACAGAAAATAACTTTGTTGCCGGCTAAAAAGCTGTTTTAGTATGTTCACATACATTAGTTACGCTTGAAAAGGAATGGTAAGAAATCACTGTTTAAAAATTTTATGTATAATTTTTTGAATATTCCTAAGTCAAGTGGCAGTAAGGCAAGATTTTCGTCGCAGTGTTTAAAACGTTGTCCCGAGAATTTCTTTCAATGTAATCAAACATGACTTTGAATAAAGTGAGTATTGTTATTTCTGTTATAATACTAACAAGTAACTGTAAGCTATGACTCCATAACTATAGAAAAATTCACTACGCGTATATTTAGAAAGATGATGAATATTCAGAAAAAATTTGTGACAGAAAAGCACGTTTAGTCATGAAGTGCGGAACATACTAACCTCACCAACGAAACACGAACTCGGCCGCGGCAAGGTTTAAACGTTAGGTCGTTCTGAAATGTACCCGCCCTTTCGTTTCAACGACCTTGAACGGCTAGACTAGAGGCGGTCATTCCGTATTTCAATTGCCGTGGGTTGGTTGGATTGCATGAGTATCAAGTTTTTTCATATATAAATCATCTTATGCTACATAAAAAAGCACGAAATAAATACCAAAACCATTAATTTAGCGTTCTCTGTTTTGTAGTGTACACTTTGGCTCTGTTGTTGCTTTGTAATTTGATCTGTGATCCCAACAACTGTAGTAAAGCTCAACGAAATGTCAAGTCACAGGTAAATCCTAAGTAATTGTAGTAGTTCATTGGGTTACTATTGTTGCAAGGAATAACTTTTTAATAATTAGTCATGTCTGTTTTTAGTGCTTCATGCTCAAGTGACATTTCAGTCGACCTAACCGATGCCTTTCGAAGTATGATACTGAACAAGCGTTTCGTGTTGTGGGATGGTTTTGAAAGCGCCTCGGTCGCACAACACGTAGATCAAACTACCCACCTTTTCTCAACCTATGTCAAACGACAATTGTTGTTATGCTGAACTACCGAATTAATGGTTACTGATAATGTTGACATTTAAAAAATGTGTTCGAGAAATAGAACGATGCCAAATTTTGGATTTCTTCGTGGTGCAGTTCGGTAATTTCCATCTTGGTTGTAAATAAATCCCCAAAATAAATAGCTCTGTAAGTCTTCAACGAACTTACCCAGCTGGAGGCTCTCGATCACCCATCCGCACCTGATCACGAGTGGAAACGCCGTGTTCAAATTCTCCTGCAACCACTAGCCAGTTTAGATCAGTCACTTCTCGATATATTGGCAACCTATCAAACATGTCTTCGAACCTCCTCGCTTTTTCTGATGGTTTCTGACCAACGGACATCCAGTATTTTGGGTAGACAACTGTTTATAAATACTTCTATCAGTATGATGATGGTTGTGGTAGTTCTCCTAGTTTGAGCTCCGCAAAATAGAACTGTCTTGACGCTTGAATTGAATATTCTTACTTTGATATCGACTAACAGTTGTTTTGAGTCACATACGCTCTTCAACTGAAGGAATACTGTTCTTGCTTTAGCAGTCCCCTTCTTTAGGTTTGTATCATCCTTCACGTTCATCGATGATACTGTCCAGGTGCGTGAATGCTACCATCTCTTCTAGAGTTTCTTCATCGAGAGTGATTGGTTTGGTCCTCTATATGTTGCATTTGAGGATATTACTTCTTCCCTTGTTTATGTTGATCCCTATCGATGCAGAGGCTTTTGCCACACTAGTTGTCTTCACCTGCGTTTGTCGGTGTGTATGTGGAGTAAAAGAGGTAGGTTCAAACCATGTAGTTCTCCATCGTATTCCATGCTTCCCATCAAATGTCGATGTCTTCATAATCCGGTCGACCACCAGAAGAACGAGAAAGAGGGAGAGTATGCAGTCCTATCTGACACCGTCCCCCACTTAGAATGAGTCTTTCAGCTGTCATTCATGCACGACGTTGCAATGTAGTCCGTCCTATGAATTCCGTATGGTATTGACAATCTCCTCAGCCACTCACTCCATCGTGTCGAAAAATGTTCCTTATTTTCAGTCTTCCGGCAGTTGTTGCTCCTCCCAAATCTCCTTGCAGTTACTTCTATGTCTGACTTTAATGCTTCATCAGGTATATTGTCAGATCCTACGGCTTTCCCACTCTTGAGTTTTCTGATAACCATATTGATTTCTTCGATTGTTGATGGAGTGACATTTATAGTGTTTGTGTGATGCTTCGATGCACACTGGATCCAATGGAGTTGGTCAATTCGAGAGTTCCTCAAAGTGCTTGACCCGTCTGTTCCTCTGTTCTTGAATCTGAGTGATTGGCCTGCCTTCTTTGTCCTTGATTGGCCTCTCTGGCATGCCGTTTTTCCCTTTTAGTTTCCTTGTAGTGGCATTGGGCCCTAAACACACAGTACTTAAAGCTGAACACTAGACAACTGGGAAAATGCATATTCAACATTTAACGCGGAGAATAACCCAACGATGGATAAGGCGGTAACAATGAATGGAATTAATTAAAGTTGATCGGATGGCATGGCTCGGTCTTGTGGGCGTGGTCCCCGTTGAATGTTACTTCATATCTTTTACTCGTAATAAATATATTGTTCTATCTCCAGCCTGAGTGTGTTCTCCATATATTGGCAATTGTTACGATACGATGAGTCAGTGTAGACAACGATGTGACTTCCATGTAAGATCTTATAGATTAGGCAGTTACATCACGACAAATCTACCATTCTAGGATCAGATATATTATTAGAGCAGTACTAATGTCATGGTAGACCATAATTTCACAGATCTTCCTAAAGTCAATTTCGCAGCACATGCGTACATTGGATGTGGAAATTCAACTGAAGTTTGGTTCTTCAGTCTCATTTAAGATCGTAAACTGTTTAAAAATATCAAGTTGGTAACTCGTTGGAGAAACAAAGGCCATCGCGCTTAGACTGTGTATTTACGAACAAATAATTCCTAATTGACAACCTCTCAATCCTGGCTCCCCCAGGGACGGTGATCACACCGTCACAACCTTTAGTTTTATCAGCAAAACTGAGTTAAGACATCCTACCAATGACAGACACTAGGATTTCAAACGTTTTGATATATCAGCAATCTACAGCACGTGGACTGAGAAGTTCATCCTCAACTTGATATAGACGCTTACTAGGATTTCTTACTGCACATGAACATCTGTGCTACAAAGCAGTTTGTTCCAAAGACAGTCCCCAAGAACTACAGGCAACCTACAGTCATCAAGTATCGTACTTCTTGCTTTTAAGCCTCAAAAGACACTGCTGGGCGGAATACAAATGAACTTGTAACAACAACGCATTCAGACAATCCAAACATGTAAAGAACAGATGCACAAAGGAAATAAGAGAAAACAGGCTCCAGTACCAGATAAAGCTTATCGACAAATTTGTCACCAATCCGAAAAGCTTATCTCGTCATCTAGCCTCTCTTCAGCGAAACAAAACTGCAGTTCCTAACTGATGGGTTCTAATGCTCCGGCCAACAGCGATGGTGACGCCCCCGACCTACTGACAGAACAGTACTCTCGGACATTTCAACCAACCCGCACTAACTGCATTGATGAAAGTTTCGCCCGAAATCCCACAGAACTTTCAGAACTGAACCCGAGATCTGACTTTGTGTTTCGGAAACTGCAGCACCTAAGAAAAGACATTTCTTCTGGTCCGGATATGGTTCATTCTGCTATACTGAGAGAAGCAGCTTCAGTCTTGGCGACACAGCTTAGTGTGGTGCTCTCAAATTTACAAAGTCAAGGCACATTACCAGAAAAGTGGAAACTAGATCACATAGCACGAATTTTCAAATGAGGTCGACGCAGCGAACCTTCAAGCTACCGACAAGAAGCATTTCTATATATACCCTCAAAAATTATGGTGTCCTTAATATGAGACGGTCTACGTGCCTACTTACTATCCATGAACTTCTTTCCACCCCAACAGCACGGTTTCAGAAGAGGTCATTCTTGTATAACCAACCCGCTGACTGTGGTAGACAGATGGACGACCATCGTTGATCACAAGGGGAAGGTTGATATCATAACCCTTGAATTCTCAAAATCTTTTGATGGAGTCAATCATATATGTCTTACTAACAAGATCAAACGATTAAGTATCAAATCACTTTTAATCCATTGGCTCACGTCATATCTAAAGGCTCATCATTTTAAGGTCACGGTTAACTTAACCTTCTCTCAGGCCATGGAATGTTCTAGTGGAGTCCCCCAGGGTTCAGTACCAGAACCTCTTCTTTTCTTGATTTATACAAACGATCTTACACGGCACATATCATCAGGTTTATTAACTTTCGCTGATGATGTGAAACTCTGGAGAGAAGTACGAAACCAAGAGGATATGGTAGCACTTCAGGAGGAACTGATTCGACCTCAAAGTTGGACAGTTGACAACAGACTTATCTTTAACACTTCAAAGTATAAAGTAGTACATCTGAGACATGCTACAGACTAAAACTGCAACTTAGACAACCATACTTTAGAGATAGCCCAAGTAGAAGAAGATATAGGAGTGTCGGTATCCCTCGGTGTGAAGTCCTACGCTAACTGCGGCACAAATGCCTTCGGAACAAACATTGCACTGCATATGTTGTTGCGTCTTCTCGGCCAGTTACACGGAAGGACGTTACACATAATCCTCAACAGTTTCATTCATCCCCATTTAGAGCACGGAAACATAGTATTTCCTTCCTCTTTTCAAGACGATAGGGACATACTGGAACGTATCCAATGGCGAGCCAAGAAATCAGTTTGGGGACTGAAATCCAAACCTTACGAAGAGCACCTCCACTCACTTAAACTTTACCCATCAGGGTATAGGCGTCTTAGAGGTGACCTAATGACTTACATTATCATTAACACATCTAAGCGCCCCCTTGAACACCTACTTAAGCTTAGTCTCAACACAAATCTAAGGTGTCATACCCAGAAACTGGAGACAGAACACAGTAGAACGAACTGTAGACATACCTTCTACTCCTTAGGAGCGGTCAAATTCTGGAATTCGTTACCGGCTGAGCTAGGTCGAGCGACTTCTCAGGACTCCTTTAAGATAAAACTTGGCCTATTCTCACGGACTAAGGATCGTATCCTACTATGATTTAACAACTATTTTTCTTTCTCTTTTATCGTTAATATACCAAGGTTCCTACTTCAAGGTATCGGTGATCCATTGCTACTAGGTATAGAAGCCCGTTAAGCGACAGCTTCTTCTATTCCATCCAGAACCCTTTGAATCCGTATATCTGAAAACACTGAATATCATATACTGCCACATTCAAATAGTGCGGAACTTTACTGAGTCATTATGTTTGTATGTCAATTTAGGAGATGATTATATTACCCGTAGCTTTATATGTCATGTGTCTTTTCACTAATTACTGTATAGAAGGTTCTGAGTTTTCTTGGCCTATATTGCGCCACAGGTATACTCAGCTGTCAGGTTCATGGTACCAACCAGTGGCGAACTTGAGCCAACTAAATGAAATATAC